CTTTACATGCCCCCCCCCCCCCCCCCCTGTATATATTTTCCAAATTGTGCTTTTAGAAGAGAATCATGTAACAAAGGAAAGGTTCTCACTTCTATGGCGGTCTGTCATTTTCCTGGCAGTGTCATGTGGCCAGTATGTGATCGTGTGTTATATTTTATATTGCATGCTATCATACAAAAGAGAACATGGCTTTCATGGAGATCATTGATCCCCTTGCAGTAATAGACACTTGTGTCTGAACAAGAGTTTCCATTCTCAACAATCCTGTGTAAGCTCTACACCTTTCTCTCCACAAATTGGGACAAAGCAGATCCTAAGAGCCCCGTCTGTCCAAACATTGTATGTCCACTATACCTCCTCTGCTGTACATATGAGGGCGTCACACTGCTTACCTCACCAGGGCGCAGAGGAACATTCAGACTAAAAAAAACTTTATTCATTGAAAAGATGACAAATATTTGAAAATCGATTTTCACCATTCCACCATATGAAGAAGAAACTGGAACCAAACAATTTACTAAGAACTCCAATGTCATTTAAAATCTCTATATATTTTTAATATAATTTGCTGCTAAAATACACTTTTACGCCTTACACGGGGACAGCAGGAAATACGAAAATAAGTTCTCTGATACATCACCTCATAGTAAGTTTCTTAGGTGTCTATGCGTACTGACAGCAATGCTCATACAGGACCGGAGCAGGCTGAGCCCCCGCTGTACAATGAAGCTGAAGCATTTACCTTTCCTCCATCATGGCACACTAAGGAGGAGAAGAAGAGGCCGCACACAGGAACAATAAATGAAACACTCGCACATGTACCCGGCAGAGAAGTAGACAACTTTCTTGAAAGGGTTGTACTGTTTCCCTAAAATAAGAATGATTATGAAATGTGGACAGATTAGGTACAGAGTGTGCTTAGTAGTGTTTGAATGTAAGTTTTTTTTTACACAAAACATGAAATAAGAACAATATGGTTGCCTTCGCCGACCTGTACAGGACTGTCTGAAATAGTGCAAATGATTTGTCTCAGTGACTTGACCCACTCGGACCTGGACCTAAATCTATGGAGTGTGACCTCTGGTGACATGAAAATAGAGACAACAGTCAATCTAAACCTCATATGAAGAAAGAAGACAGGACAACGATCCAAGTGACATCTCAGGTATCTTCCTATTCATCTTCAGCAATGGGCACATGAAGCCGGAGTATAGGGAAGGAGTCCTTTACAATCCCTTTTAGAGAAATGTGGCTTCCTTGAATGGGCACCTGTTCTCTTACAGTTCACCACCACAAGCTATCAGTGAAATCCCTTTCGAAGCGCCTTATTTTTCACCATTCTGAATTTGCTAATGAACACTCTGGCGAATGCAGCCTCTACCAGGAATTGGTACGTCTTTATGTTGGTTGGAGGAGGTTCGGCAGCTACTACCTGGGCAGCAAGCTGCAGGGAAGATTGGCTGGGGATCAGATGAGGGGAACTCTTCGCAACGTAGTCAACGAGCCGGCTGTACTGCTGTTCAGAGAGACGTTCCCTGGCGCCGTCAGGCTGGAAAAGGTATCAAATACAACATTTCAGTAATGACATTGTACACGATATACATTCCGTTTTCTGTACTGAGGCAGAATGAAGACAAGCATTACATAGAACAGATATATAGGAGCTGTCACTGCGGACTTGTTTTTGAAGGAGAATGTTCAAGAGAAGCTGAGACAATAAAGTCCCCATTCACTCCTAGGCGTTTTGTCGCTCAAGGCTAAGCATGACAAAACACTGAAGACAAGGAACCCCATTCATTTCTATGACCCCTGTTCACAGCTGAGCGTTTCGTCACAAGTAGAAAAACACCTGTCGCTGGAAAAAGTACATGAGCTAATTTCTGACAGATTACAGCGCTTTTTGGTATCATAGACTCCTATGGGAAACTTTGTGCAACAAAACGCTCAGGTGTGAACAGGGACCATAGAAATGAATGGGATTCCTTGTCCTCAGCGTTTTGTCGTGCTTAGTGCTGAGTGACAAAACGCCTAGGTGTTACCAGAGCCAGACAAGTCAGCAATGGCAGCGTCTATGTTGCTATCTTACCAGGTCCCCAAACAGACTTTGTCAGGTGTCCAATTGGGAAAAGGCTAGAAGCAGCCTTCATCCAACCCTCAATGCCATGTCAGAGGAGCAATTCTGCCACTCAGGCAAGGGAACCACTAAGAGAGTAGCTCCCTTGCTGGCCTGGAGCACTGCAAAGTTTTGCCACAAGGGAATAGTGAGAGAGCGTCATCTGGCTGGACCGGCTAGCGAGAGAGCGTCATCTAGCTGGTCCGGCAATGAGAGAGCGTCATCTGGCTGGTCCGGCCAGCGAGAGAGCAATGAGAGAGCGTCATCTGGCTGGACTGGCTAGCGAGAGAGCAATGAGGGAGCATCGTCTGGCTAGCGAGAGAGCAATGAGGGAGCATCATCTGGCTGGACCGGCTAGCGAGAGAGCAATGAGAGAGCGTCATCTAGCTGGTCCGGCAATGAGAGAGCGTCATCTGGCTGGTCCGGCTAGCGAGAGAGCAATGAGGGAGCATCCTCTGGCTAGTGAGAGAGCAATGAGGGAGCATCATCTGGCTGGTTTGGCTAGGGAGAGAGCAATGAGAGAGCGTCATCTGGCTGGTCCAGCTAGTGAGGGAGTAAATTCATAGTAAATTAGGAAAATGTAGGTGGCATGTTAGCGATCAGGTTACTGGAAAGTTGTAGCCAGCCACAGGATTGCTCACTTGACATGGCCATTAAGCCGAGCACCATTTCCAGGCAGGTAAGTCTATCTCCTAGTTGATGGCTGTTTATCTGCAGATCAGTCAGATAGTAGACTGAAGAATAAGGCAGCAGTGTGCAGCTGTAAATTTCAAGTCAAGTGAAGGATAATCCCCTATGACATCGCTATCACCGCGATGACCATGGTGCGATCTTGCGCCATACTATTCTCTGGTTCCATGCCTGAAATGTGTACCAGAGCTGCATTAGCCACTCTATGATTACCTCCTGATCACTGCAGACGTGAGGCTGGGAGAAGGGCTCTCTGAGCACAGAATTGGTGATGAGATAAATTTTATTGTACATCAGACACTTTCAGTACACATCACAGGTGGTCATACTCATTAAGTGGTGAATAATCAGAATGTTTGCTGGATTGCCCATTTGAATTAGAAAGCCAACGCCCCACTAGCAGGCCCGCCAGAATGAGCCAAAGTTTACCTGTACCTGTATTCAATGGGACATCCAGGTTTCAGGAACATTCACCGTATTAATGATAAGGGGAATCATACCACCCGCCAAGTGTGATTTGTACTGTACATTCTCTATTTGCAGATATCATTTTATACATAGTAACCACACTGTGAGGTGTCGCTGTGTAAGGGTCACTATTTCCTGAGGTTGTCACTTACCTCTGCGTCACTGGTGACAGGTTGCTGTTTGAGCTGCACCAGGAGGGAGTTCTCAGAGCCACGTTTCTCCATACAGTCTATTTCAGTGACGGGGAAGGCCTGCTGCTGGGTGTCCTCACTGATACTGACCACAAACAGAACTTCTGAAGTCAGCAGCAGGCAGCCGGCGTACTCCTGTCCAGAGCCGCTGACAATGATTACATCCAGTGCCATGTGCAGCTCCGGCCGGCCCAAAGATTGCAGCATTTTCCTGGAAGGCAGAACAGCAAGACTATTAGCAGCAATCCAGACACGTATTACTTCACCACCAGGAAAAGAACAATATGAATATGTGTCACCCAAATTATGATTTGGGATAGATGATTGTCTCTGGATGCATCTATCTTGCACCCGGGGCAATCATCTATTCCAAACCGCATGCAATTGTAACATGTATGGTTACATACAGACTGCCACTGACGGATGGGGCGGCAGTCACCCTGTCATTTACTTCAATGGGTACAACTAAATGGGATTCCAGACACAATAATCTGTAGGATCTTGCAGGAGGAATGCCAGAACACCCCCTGAGAATTGGCCTTTGATGTGGTGTGTGTGTGTATATGTGGTTGGTAGGAAGATATACACAGAAAATGACATTACCAGACATATTTCACATGGCTGTTGGCTGCTTGCTGTGATTGCAGGTCTTTGGATAGGTATCTTTGTTTGGGAAGCTGGGAGAGGCCAGCACCATGTAGTATACCTGCAAGAGAAAGCAAGAGACAGATTAATGCACTGCGTGTAAACAGCAGACACATCACATGGTGGCACTGGTAATGTGCGCTGCACAGTAAGGCTGGCCATACTCTTAAAGTGACATTAAAGTAAAAAAATGTTTTCCCTCCCCCCAATGTTAGTGTCAGCATTTACCTTCAATGATGTTTCTTAATCCGATCTTCTTCTTTCCTGATGTTTTCATCTGTCTCTCCAGCGCTGCTGCGGGTCTCCGATCCAGCGCTGACTCCTCTGTGCTTGCTGGCACTTCCTGTCCCATTGTGTCTGCATGCGGGTGCACGCGCCCATAGACTTACCTTGTGTCTCTCCTCGTCTCCCGGCCGAGAATGTGAACTGCGCATGCGCCCGCCCCAAGATGCTTTGCGGCAGCCCAAGCAGTTTTTGGATTTTCGGACGGGAACGCGCGGCGAAGACGGGGTAAGTGAAAACTGCTGTTTTTTCTCTCTAACTTTTTGCATATATATTTACTGCTTGCTAGCCGTAGATACATGCAAAAAAAACCAGAGGGTTGAGAAACCCTTTAAGGCTTTTTTTCCCCCAGTCCCACCATCCACACTAAACTTCATGGTTGGGGTAATCCCCTGTCGCTGGGCAATTGTATCCTGACAGTGGTGGGTGTGCCGCTGTAAGAATAACAGTGACTGAAGCTGTTTGGCGGAAGTCGCTGTTTGGCTGTCAATTTTTGAAATGGTCTGAACAGACGTTAATTATATCAATGTGGCCACGCACCGGTCAAACTTCTGTCAATTCGGAAGCACTTGGTCCACATTTAAGCCGCATATGACCAGCTTAACTCCTAGTAACCAATCAGAATTTATCCTAAGGCAGATCTGTAAAAGGTGCATTTTACTGATCACAAAGGGTTAATGCACTTTGCACAATGTTCTTGAATGTGGCCTGGCTTTTACTGGACACTTCTGTGTTTATGTGTATATTATATGCACAGCGGGGTGTCCACGGTATGGCACAAATAGGAACGTGTCCTGGGCACCACTTGAAGGGGGAGTGCTCTGTGGGTCAGCGAAAATTTACCGACCGACGGAGGCAGCTGACTCGCCCCTCCCACCGCTCAACTATGCACATCTCCCTGCCCAGCTTTTAGCAACCAGGGGTGCCCTGGCTGGGGTCCAGTCCAGATCACCGTCACTGGTTGCCAATTGGGGGAGCGGGTGCTGGTGGTGCATGGCAAGTGGGGGGTTGTGGGCGCTGGGCGGGAGGCATGGTGTGTGGCCTGTGCATCATCTGACAACCAGTGATGTCACTGCCTGCCAAGAGATGAGCAGGATGCCGGCCAGAGCATCCGCGAAGAGCAAGGCAGGGTGACTGGTATGGCCGTTACACATCTCCCGACTCGTAGCAACCTGGGCCACTCTGGCCAGAATGGGGAAGGCAGACACATTGTGCAACACAGCGGTCATCCCGCTCTGCCTGCTGCCCCCCCATGTGACCCAAAGAGATGCCGCCCGAAGCGATAGGGACGGCCCTGGTTTACATATTCACTTATTTTGTCTTCTTAAGAAAAATGGAATAAACATGTTATAAAACAACAGGTGAGTTGTGTCTGGTTGCTGTATGAGTCTATGTGCAGAGCTCAGGCCTCGGATGCACAGATCACTCACATGAGGTCATTCATCTGGAAGCCGATTCTGCAGCGTGTAGCTAATTCCTTCCCTGTTAAAATGCAATGGCGGTGCACTTAACCCTCATGATCTTGCATTAGCTCGAATCCCAAAACTGACTGTTTGAAAGCCAACTTATATTAGCAATTAGAGGAAACCTTATACTCTTGAGAGCTCTCCATCTCCGAATGGTATCACACACATCGTTTATACAAGTTATACAGGAAAGAGGAAAAAAGAGAGAGAGAGCGAAGTCATTCCGAAGAGAACGTCCTCTGTTAAATATAAAATTCTTCTCTATATGTGTCACGGATGGTAAAACTGAAACAACAAACAGTTTGCCTAGATACGGAATTTATAGAGAAGTTACTTAATCCAGCTGTTAAACATTGATACATATAGGTTTACGAGCCCCGCGGAGACGTGCGGTTTCGGTGATGGCGCTCCGAGTGCCAGCAAGCACGGGGCGAATGCAGGAACTATTTAAACAGATCTGGATGTGGAAAATGGAGAGGCGCGGAAGATGCAACATGTGCGCATTCTGAAAGCTTGTAAAGGTTTAATAAATGAGGCATGGTCATTAGACCGAGAATTAGTGGATTGTAAAACCTTCAGCGATACTATAAAACGCTTTTACAGG